TTATTATAAAAAGTGTGTACAATCGCGTGCAGGAATTAGTGAGGATATGTAATTCGCTTCTATGATAAAGGCTTGCCTTCCCAGAATCGCCTCTATTTCATAATGGTTTCGAAACTATTCAAAATTAGTATATGTTACTATTATGTGTCAGATTGAATCGTCAGTCAGCCATTCTTGAAATATGCTAAACAAAAAAGTTTTATCGATGATTACGTGAATAATATACGATACACCAAGCACATTTGTGTAAAGGTAATCGATTGAAAAAAAATCATCCTTTGATTCATTGCGTGGAAACCTAATCATCACAACAACTTGCAGTATTATCCCGATAAAGGATTGCCGATAATATATTATTCATTCAAGTATTTCCACTTGTAATTACAAAATACACTTAAAACCTTGATGAGATAATCCGATTATGAATAAACCGATAATTTGTTGCATAATGAGTTGTTAATTTTGCATGGCACACACAAATATTACATTCTTTTATTTTGTTATCAATCGACAACCACGAGGAGAGTTCTATAACTTTTATTAATGCATTCATGTGTGTCGCCGAGAGAGTTTCCAATCTTAGTGCTGTAAGATTGAGAAGGGCTGTAGAGGAAATTGTATGTATGTATGATAATCTTAGATTTGTCGCAGTATTTCATTAACAAATATAAATTGAATAACTTTTTACTGAAAGGATATTAGCATCATGTCGCTTCGTTTGATAGTATATGAGTTGTGTATAAAAGACACGGTTCAACTCGAATTAACTATATTGAAAGTGTAATATTAAATATTTTTAATTACCTCGACGTCAATAAGCTCACATAATATTCGGCATACAAACGGACAACTACAGTTGTTTTTTTAAACGTGCATTGATTCTAATATAATAAAGTGATTGAACAACTCTCTACATACAAAAATATGTATTCGATTGTATAATCGTAATTTCAACGATCAATTCAGATTTTATATATTAATTAGTGAAAAACATATCAAACTACTAACCATATTCTTTCAATATTTGTACCACAGGTATTTTATTTTTATAGCAAAAAAAATAATTAATAAATCACGAGGTCAGATGCTATTCCACACGAACAATCCTGTTCATGACATCACTCAATACTCGTGTTTGTGGGTTCTTTTAACCGCCACAAACAGGGCCACATTATACTTCTCAATAAATAACCGAAACCGAAAATAGTATAAAATATAAATATTTAGTCCCAAACACTATTAATAATAATAACAATAATAGTAAATATTACAACAGCCTCCGACATTGTATATATGAGATGGTAATTTTACCGGTAACAGATGCCATGGTCGTTGTAGTCAGTTAGCGGTGTTTTCCATCAAGATGACAATCATCAATTTTTCTGTTTGACTCCCAAAACAATACAGGCTTGGTATGAACACAACTCAGTTAATGCCTTCAATCCTCGACCTGGTAAAGCGCTGTTGAATAGCTGTTTTTTACCTATATTTACGTCTTTTTGTATCGAGTTGAAGTTTTGCTCGTCTTTATATTTGATAACATCAATGCTCGTTTGGCGATATAGATCATTACTGTCACAACATTCAAAGCCACCAGGCATTTCCCCTAACCTGTGTTCACACTGATATCATTTCTTAATTTCCACGCCAAATTTTGCTGGTTATTTTCGCGGTTTAAGATTCGTGATTCGCGTATGTAGCAGTGAAAATATAAAATGCCTAAAAACAAAGCATGTTATTTTCATTTAGTACGTCATACTGTGACACCATCATTTCTTTTCAGTTTCCTCATCTGTGACATTAAGTGTTACTTATGTAAAAATAAAAAAAATGGAATTATTCTTATTATTGAACAGCAATACCTTGTTTTGTAAAATGTGTTTAGTTCAAGTTTAACTCGAATGACTCGAATGTATATACTACAGAATGAGAACAGTAACCTACCTAACAAACATCTCAAGTTGGTTGTTGAAGTACATGTACTTATTTCTTATTACTTCCTCTCCTGATATTCATGGCACGTAATGATAGGCATAGCAGCGTGAAGCAAGGGCACTCGACGCTAATGTTCTTTCAGACATTCAACAGAGATTTGCACGTAATCTGTCGCACGAGATACACAAGAGGTGATCTTGAAATACAATTATTTGTATCATAGATTAGATTCCCCTGGGTAATACAGATGGCACTATTACGTATTGTTTAATTAAACTCTGGCTTCGAGGCTTTTGTTGTTATTAGCTATTTATAAGTTATTCTTATATCATTTACAGCCAGAAATAATGTTGTTGGCGCAATCGGAAAAAAAATATTTCTAAATATTTCATCTTTGCTCCGATAATTTCAACGCGAATTTTCATATTATATTTTCTAAATCAGTATATGAAAAATAAGAAGATAATACGCTTACACAGATAAACGAAATCACTGGCGCTACGCACACTCTTCCTGTGCATACAAAACGCCAGAGCATCTACCAGGCAGACATTGCAATTCAATTTAAATTATTATTAGCGGGAGAAAAAAATTCAAAATCTAAAAAGAGGGTGAATAATGTTCAATATTTTGTACCAGTGTTTAAACAAAGATTACTGGATATTGATAATCAGAAATGAAGAAAATAATTTACTCAAAGGTTATAATATAGTAAATTCACGTTTATATTTCAGTATAGATTTATATTTATATTACAGTGGTTGACAATATGGCATGAGGCATGATAGCATATTTATATATCATTTTAGGTTATCGACTGACAGACAACTAAATAATGACAGAACTGATACAATTAAAAAAATACCAGTCTATAGAGAGCTGATATATCAATATATCGCCGTTTTTTTACTATCACCTGCGCCCTCACACACAACTATATTTCGTGATGCACATTTATCACCCGTATATAGAGGGCGATACAGGGTAAATGACATTTTTCAAAATCATTTCAAGGATGTATTATGCAAAGGCAAAAATAAAACACGTTTTTTAACACTATTGTTTGCTTGATGTGAATATGTCAGCTCGCTGAATCTAAGCGCAGCATAGTTGGTTGGGTTGCTGCTCACAATGTAGTACTCCATCTATTTCTCATATTACGCCCAAGCAGTATTGACATGTATACATTATTTTACAGTGGTGTGTCGGGTAACTGACAAATAAATATTTAAATATGTTTATTATGTTAAAATAATTTGTTTCATAATCATGATTGCTATCAAATTAATAGTAATTTAGGATCGTCCCATAAAAAGATGTTTTAACCAGTATACATTATCTTGCACTGGGACAGTCTAGATCTATTAGAATAATAATGTGACGAAACTGTTTTATCAACTTGTTTGCCCAGTAAAAAAATATTAATAGTTATGTTCATAATACTTGGCTGACTGATTCCGATGCACATGACTTGGCAAGAATTATTCAAATAAAAAAGAAGAAAATTAATACTTTATTGTTCACCTCATAGATGAAAGTCACGAAATAACACATTATAAAGTTAGCGGCATGGAAACATTTTTTGAACTATATATTTTCGGAAATAATTTCGAGTCATTTTTTTGCTTAAAGGATTAACTTAATTCAGATGTTGCGACAGGTTGAATTGCTTCCGGTCGCACTCAACCATAAATTGTGTCCATACAAAAATTGAAACCAAATTCATGGGACGATTTTGTCAACATAAGAAAAAGACAAAAAGTAAAAAATTACAAATACATTTAAGACATGTCGTTATGTGGCTTACTTTTTTAGAAAACAAATGTAACATTTTAAGGTAAGTGATCTTATTGAATATCTGGCAATGTCGATAGGTGAATTGAACTATCGTTTTGAGATTGTCATATAAGTTAATGAATGAGTACAATCGATTGTACCCCGCTCCCCGGCTTCCTGAAAATATGTCATAAATACATATTTTTCTTTTTTTAATTTAAACAGCTCCAACAATATCACCATATATTTGACACTATGTGGAATCACCTGCTTCAAACATACAATATATGATAAACTGTATATGGCTATTATGTTTTTCCAATACCAGGAGACAAACTGAAAGACATCAGATTCTATCCAAAACATGGAATTCATAAAGCAATACGTATCTGAGTCGAGGACTGATTTTACAACTACACAGAGAGTCTGAAAAATAGAATGTTATTAGTTAGCCTCATACGTCTAGCGCTAAAGTCCTTAGGAAAATACAAAAAGCAACTCTATATGCAACTTCAATCCTCTTTTGTTTTATCAACACTTCGATTATCAAACATATTCGACGATAAGTATTATATTATTTTTTGAACTTGGTGAAGGAATTTGAAGCCCATCCGAGCGGACTTTGTTTTCCGAATTGTACTTGAAGCGAGCACAGATTGCACCAAATACGTGCAATATGCTTGTACTTAATAAGCATTTATCCACAAAACAAATATATGTCTAACATATCCATGGGACTCCATAACGTACTTGTTTCTATCCTATAATCACATTGCATGATTTTGACGCACGCTCAAATGTATGTATTACATCATTAAAAACTCGAAACAAAATTTTGAGTTTACTTTCTGGTATCAACTTATCGTTTATGTAAATTTACATTGTCCCCGGTCAAGTAATGTAGTATTAGTTAAAGTGCTTTGATGTACTATTATTCAGTTAACTGTACTTGTTTTTGTTTTGTATATTTGACTTGAAATCGAGTGTAACCATCTCATAAATATTAGACAACACATTACACACACATTTGTACCTGTCTTATTGGCTTACCTTCTCGGCGTGAGTTGTTAATCAAGTAATTTAATTTTTTTAGAAAAGTTTTTCATGTGCTCCCTCTCACCGACTCAGAAGTTCAAATGTTCACATTGCCGTTGTAATGATAAAAAGTCCATAAATGTAGCTATACGGCCAGATTGTTCGATTAGACATCCCGATTTCCTTAAATTAAATATCTAACCATTTCATAGTTTCCAATGTTGTATTGGTTTCACACTAAATAAATTCGAACATTCTAATATTGAGAAATATTATTTTCCACACACAAGATTACATAACATAATATGATTGTATTATACATATGTTATTGTAGTACAGACATCATTACATTACATCAATTCAGAATTATTGAAACACTACAATAATAACCTTACAGCGACACATAACCCATTGTTTTATCGATTACGGTATACATTATTTGAACATTGCATAAACCTTTGATACAATCAATACTCGATTAGTTGCATGAGGTAGATTTAATCGTAATAATCGTCATTCTCGTTATAGAGGAATCTTTTCTTTGGGTCTTCATATCCATTATCTTCGTCGTCGTCAATATATTGATCGTCCTGAGCCTCTAGTGCACGTCCCTTGACTCTTCTACGCCTCACACCAAACCTCTAATGAATGAATGAATGAATTTATAAATTTATGGAATATAATTTTTAGAATATATTTAATTGAAAATTGAATATAATGTTTGAAGCATTGTAATAATTGTAATTAATCAAAAATAGTTATCAAATAACGTGGTTATTCATATTATATTATAGCAAAAACTAATACAGCACACAACACTTTTTACTTGTAACCGTTGTAAAATAAAAATGAACCAGCATACAGCGATTATAGATACATCGCACCCGGATTTCAGCGTTTTCGTAGTTTATTATAGTATTACACACGATTTGAGCATTGATAACACATTCAGGTTCACTAATGAGACGCTGCAGAGGGCAATATTTGTTGGCGTCGTTCAGCAAACGAATATTATTTATTTGCAATTTCTTAAAAGATTTTATCCTACTGTACGTTATTCACGATTGAAACATAAACACCGGAAACCGTGATATATCGTCTTTTTAAATACAGGTTACATAATTAAAAACACGCTCTGGACGACGTAATCGGGCAACTGAAATGCCGGTTAATATAATACAATGTTTGATTGCACGGAGTGTAGCGCTTTAAAGTGAAAATAAATATCCAGCCGCGGATTGTTAAGCACAGGGAAATGTACAAGTGACGGAACACAAAACTTACAAATACTTACACTAGCCGCTTCAAATGTACATAACTCCGCCAAAAGAATCCCAATAACGAGGAAGAAAATAAGTAGTTTGCTGTTCATTGTGGAAATTGTTCTGAAATACAAAACAATTAATTAAGGATTATATTTGTAATACTGTGATAACAGGAATAGCAGTAAGGCCACCACAACTTACATGACATGTTATCCAGGATATACTTATATTCCCGAAAACCCAAGAATTATTTGGACGTTTGTTTTTACCACTAAGGATGTATTCAAAAAGAGATAAATAGTATATAAACCAGTCCATGCAAACCGATTTGCCGCATTGTTTTCATGGCTAAATTCTATAGGAAAATTGGCTCGTATGTAGAGAAACGCGCAGTATCGAGGTGTATACCCGCCTTGTAATTTGGTTAACACCTGTATTAGTAACACATAAAGTGTGAGTATTACATGAAATAGTTATCGTATCCCTGCGAACATGTTAACGGGAATTAACAGCTATTTTCAGGGCCGAGGTCTGATGAAAGTTCGACGACTTTTACCCCATCAAAGTTGTCGTACGATAATGAAGTTATACAGAAAATTGACGAGCTTTAAATGTATTTTTTCCGCAGGTTGTGTACTATCAAAACATACATGTGTCACGTAACTTATTTTGTATGGAAGAACAATAAGCGAATGACAGGACCAGACAAAGACACCTGTATTATCTCACCTGATACATATATGTATTATAGTGAACTACATAATGTATTCAACCACCAATCTCTTTACCCAGCATTTGGATTATATTGGAACACACACTTTTATGAAAACACTCCACTTAATATTACATGCAGTCAGTTTTCAACAAAGAAACAGTTCCTTCCTAGTAAATGAGAATTGCTCAGAACAACGAAATCAGTAAACGCGGTCTGTTTTGAACAACAATGAGCATTGTTCTAGTAAATGCTGACACAGGATGCGGAACTAGAACTGTCGATATCAAAAGTTAGCACCATACTTAGAACAATGAAGCAGGAAACAAAGTGTATTATGAGTTGCGTTTAACGCATTAATATATTATACATATAGCCTAATCAAATATCACATATAGCTGCTTACCTGTGTATACGCCTTGTTCAGAATTAAGATGCCCTGTATTGATCGAAGTGCTATATATACATTTCTTTTCAGTACTGATAAAGTGATTGATCTCCTTATCAATAATCTTGACTCATCGGCAATTGATTTTGAAAACATTGACTGATTGTTACTTTAGATAGAAACATTGTGATTCATGTGAAAGAGATTCAAGTTTTAATTAAAATGCAAAATAGTGAAATACCTTGGAAGAAGACTTTGTTAATTGGTAATGATGCACAATATTCATGTGACAAACTTGAACATGATGCATTAGATGTAATCTATTTCACTCATCTGTACACGTGTGGAATACCGAATCATACACACTACCTATTATCAATCAACTCGGTTTCCTTGGAAATAGTTTTTGAAAATATGAACAGAATAATTATATTTTTCGTAGTCTTTCGAACTAAGACAACAAGTAAGTTTAGTCCACATTATGTTTTCAAAGGTGGAATAGAATGAAATACATACATCGGCATACATTGAGTTCGAACCTCATTTGTTTGCACTTAAAATTATTTTCTGCTTAGAAACATCAAAACTAATGATATGATAAATTAATAATGATGCTAATAAATTATTGTGGGCAAGAAAGTAGCAGGCATTTCACAAGCACTGTTAAAGTGACTAAGCATGCTACTATGATATCGTATACATTTTCTGGAAGCTTATATATGAGCAAAGATAGATTAACTTACGGTTATTTCGATATTGTGTTTTTGTGACTACTCTAACTATTGATTGTAAGTGGAATGTGACAGATATAGAAAAACCGAGACGCGGTCGTTCATCAACAACGTTACGAACAGTCATGTGCAATCGCCAGGTAATTAGCGTTACTGAAAATGATAAGCCACCATATTTTCAATTGCGATCAGATCACATTTCAGATTAATACTTGAGATTTGGGTGGTAGTGCTCCGCTGTCTGTTGAAAACTTGACAACAAAATATCGACGTTGGAAGCACTTTTAACTGGAAATGTCATTTTCGCCAAGGAATTACCTAATTTCGAAGTAACAGTTAATGTCTATAAGGCAGGGAGTTTTATAGCTCGTGTATGAACGATGTAACTTAATACCCCCGAAATAAATTGTGTGTTCATCGATATTGATACTTTTTGATACACCAGAATGCCACAGTGTGCCCTATTAAGTTTATTTTATTGTAAGCTTCGCGTTAAAAAGAACCCATTCTGGGTGATCAATTTTGGATAAACTGACCCGTGCCCATTCCTACAATATACTGGAATGTATTGTCGCTATTTTTGCTGAAGGAATGATTCAGTAAAAATAAAATACTGTGAATATACCCTTTATTTCTATAATTGACATTCAACTCATCAAAATCACTGACATGTAAATTCTGTACAAAACACACAATACACCTTTTCAGCGAAAATTATTTCCAGCTGAATTAAAGTATTTACAGTATCTGCTTATTGAGCACAACAAACTCAAATATCTGCTAACACATATATGTAATGAATATTCATCTATTCATTGAATTATGAAATATCAGCCACTATAAAGTATATTGCCGATAATCTATTGCTGCTCATTTTTTTATCGACGCGCGCTTTTTATTTTCATTCTTGAACTTGTATCATGTTCACTCACTATGTAGATTGTAGTTGAATGTCGCACTTGTATATATAGATCTGATGTACTTCTCAAATGGACTCACCGTTTAGAATTTTCTGACATATACACCATGTTCAGATTTAACATGATTCATAATTATGTCACTTATTTTTCAGACTTCATTTGAAGCAAATGAATAAAAAGGCTTATGTTGCCTACGTTAGGATTAATATATAGTTTACCATGGCGACTAAGATTGTCTTTTAACAAGTCATGTTGATGTGCATCATGAAATTCATTTTGGCGGTCAAAATAAAGCGAGGATAATTGGGAAAAGTTAGTTACTCGTAATTAAGAGATTTCCTCTCATTGATGGTCTTCGCAACAATATTTGTTACATATATGCTGCAAGATAAATCCGCAGCCCTTTTGACGATAAATATCTGTATTCAGTCCTGATATTCATGGCACGTAATTTTATGCATGGCAGCCTGAAACAAGGGCACTCGACGCTATTGTTGTTTTCACGTAATCTGTCACACGAGATACACAAGAAGTGCTCTTGAAATACACTTGTATGTATCATAGAGTAGATTCCCCTGGCTAATAAAGATGACACTATTACGTATTGTTTAATTCAACTCTGGCTTCGAGGCATTTGGCGTATTAGTTATTAATAAAAAATTCTTTATCATTTACAGACAAAAGTATTGTTGTTAATGCAATCTGAAAAAAAAATATTCTTAAAAGTTTCATCATTGCTCTGATAATTCAATGTAAATTTCATATATTTCGCAAATCAATATACAGAAAAAAAGATAATAAGTTTACACACATAAACGGAATCACAAGCGCTACCTACACACACTCTTCCTGTGCATACAAAACTGCAAAGTATCTACCAGGCAGACAATGCAAAAAACGCCCTCAATCCAAATTATCGCAATCCAGAAACGAAAACGACAAACCCAAGAAAACAAAACAGCAGACAATAGATATAACGAGTTACAAAAAACATTTCAAAACCTGAACCAAGGGTGCATAATGTTCAATATTTTATTCCACTATTTGAAACAACGATTTCTGGATATGCATATTCAAAAGTGTCTAGATTAGTTTAATCAAAACTCTTAATATAGTAAATATATAAATTTATATTGGGACATGATAAGTACATTACAGTAGTTTAAAATGTGGCATGAAAGCATGCTTATGTCATTTTTAGAATACCAGCCTACAATTAGAGAATGTAAACTTATAATAACTAAATATTGATAGAACTGATACAATTTGTATATTTTGTACCGGTAAACAAGTTGAAGATGAATTTAATTTTTGTCTGGTATTGTTATTTTATAGAGAGCTGCCATGTCAATATATCGCCAGGTTCTTTACTATACAACCAACAAAATATACATTTACATTGCGTGTCACTTCAAACTGTCAAACAGTAATAAATACAGTCAGTTTGTTATCCATTCAGTCAGTCATACAGTAATACAGTCAGTCAGTTGTTAGCCGACATAATAGGCGCAGAAAAGATTACCTCCACCCACGCCATATATGGTATTCGTCGTCCGCGAACCGCGAACAATATAGTCTAACAACTCACCTGCGCCCTCACACGCAACTGTATTTCGTAACAAATTTATCACCCGCACATAGAGGGCGATACAGGAAAATGAAAATATCCAAAATCATTTCCAGCAATGAAATCACAGTGTGCCCGTCATTGTACATGTATTATGTAGAGGGCGATTCTTTGCTTGGTGTGAAGATTTCAGCTCACTAAATCTAAGAATAACAATTTGGTTGGGTTTTTGCTCACAATGTAGTATGCTTCACTATTTCTCAAACGCCCAAGCAGTATTGATATGTGTACATTAATTTACATTTGTGTGACTGGTAACAGACATATAAATATAATATATATATACAGTATATATATATATATATATATATATATATATATATATATATATATATATATATATATATATATATATATAT